CGGCACACGGTATTGATGTAATGCACCACACGGCACACGGTATTGATGTAATGCACCACACGGCACACGGTATTGATGTAATGCACCACACGGCACACGGTATGGATGTAATGCACCACACGGCACACGGTATGGATGTAATGCACCACACGGCACACGGTATTGATGTAATGCACCACACGGTATTGATGTAATGCACCACACGGCATTGATGTAATGCACAACACGGCACACGGTATTGATGTAATGCACGATACGGCACACGGTATTGATGAAATGCACCACACAGCACACGGTATTGATGTAATGCACCACACGGCACACGGTATTGATGAAATGCACCACACGGTATTGATGTAATGCACCACACGGCACACGGTATTGATGTAATGCACAACACGGCACACGGTATTGATGTAATGCACTACACGGCACACACACGGCACACGGTATTGATGTAATGCACCACACGGCACACGGTATTGATGTAATGCACCACACGGCACACGGTATTGATGTAATGCACCACACGGAACACGGTATGGATGTAATGCACAACACGGTACGGGTACACGGTTATATGAATTTTCACTATTAAGTCTGACTGTCTGATTAAGCTCAATTATTCACAATACACCATTGTTCCATGACAAATTCGTGTTACCAAAACAAATATTCGTAAAATGATAATAAATCGTTAATATTAATAATAACGGTATACGGAAGGTATGAATTATCAAGTAATCCAAAATGTTTATAGATGTCAGTAATTAATAGAAGTCTCACGTCTAATATGGCGGACGATAGATCAATTTAAATATCAATGAATGTCACTCTATAATGAGTAACAACGAGGTGCGCTCAAGTGAATAAATTATATGAATTTTAAACAAATTTTCTAATGCGAACAAGGTTAACGAAATTTTAGCTTTATTTTCAACGTCACCTTGTCATAACAATTTAAAGACGTTAGAAATTCGATATATAATTCTAACACGCACAGCAGATTTTCATTAGGTACTAAGTAACTTGACAAGCCTGCACTTGATAAGAAGTCAACTGTCAAGCATACGAAAACGAATCACGGTTTTTAACGAATAAAAGTAAAAAATATCAGTAATAGCGTCACTTACGTAAGAAAATTGAGATATCAAGAATTATTTGCACACGAGTAGAATAACTTCTATAATTTAATGAATTCTGAGAATCTTAATGGCGCAACACTGCCGCTCTGTGACTGCCTTTTGACGAGCATCTGAGTCTTGCTGTGATGGCAACGGCCTTGGAGGAAGAGTTGCCAGGTACCGCCATACACAACTGCATCGTGTTTCATAATAGTGTTTTAAAATACAAGTTTTATTCAATTGTATATATTGAATAATCTTTCGATGGGGGACAATCTTTCCTAAAATAATTGTATTTGCATGTGATGTTTGCATAGGACATTCTTAAATTTAAAAATTAGCCTGTGCGACGCGACACGTGTCACGTCATAGTCGTTTAAGTTGTCCCTATATATTATATTGCAAGTTCAGCTGATGAATATGACGAATACTTTAACAGATAAACATACAATATAATTTTACTTCAAATTTTATTCATCGGAATCTCGTCATTTCATGTTATTTTCTTCTATTTAGCCCCATTGTAGTGACGTAGTGCACGTCGAACGTACCTGTACGAAACGCGTTCGATCGAGAGGGGGAGGGGCCAGCACGAAACGAGTCTCTTTGTTCGTTTATCCTTACAATGCAATGAATGCATGCACATTGTAGGAATTAATACATGGTAATACAACCTATCTATATATTTTCATGGCTTTCGATGGCCGCGTACAATGAGGAATGAAAGGCTCGTGGTGGTTCGGGAAGTAGTGGTGATGTAACCAGGTTGAAGAAGCTAGAAACATGAGAATGAAAATGGAGGCAAATAATTTGAGCTGCAGAAGTTAATATGTTGGAAACTATAAACAAAAGGTCAATATCAAATATAACTAACCACATAATTAACGTTTGCATGATGATAGCTAAACTAAAACAGAGGAGAGCACAGAATAATCAGTACCTGTACGAGATGATTTAATGACAATGGGTGGATATATAAGAAAAAAATAAGAAATTCGATACGGCGCTTCATGTGATGCAGCCTATCATTGTGACAGGACATTTATAGGATAAGACCAGAACAGGCTTTGCTGCCACACTGAACAACAGCGACGCATAACTCGACCGATCTTGTAGGCTCAGAGTTTTCCATATAAATGCACTGTTATGTCTGTTGGCATTAAAATCAAATGTTACAACTTTGGTATTTTAAGCATTATACATTCATACTGTGGAAGTTTTTACGATGAACATTGTTTATTTTTTTCGATGTTTATTTTCCTTGAACGGTGAAATATCACCCGTAATATCACCGTACAATTCAGTCGTCAGAAACAAAACTTATTTATATTTAAGATTTTGCCAGTCATGAAGCGGAGCGGGTAACATAAAACTCAACTGGCAACAGCGCTTCATACTGGCGACCAGCCAACAACACCTGGCAAAAATGAATGCAGAATGAAATCCTAGTATAATGAGCGATTGATTCTAAACTATCTCAATGAAACCACAAACGGCGAGCATTTTCAGGTTATTTAATGACTTTTGAATTAATTTAGTCCATGAGGATGGCAGATTGGCAGTTCTTAGTGAACTTTGGGCCAGACTTCATCATGCTGTCGTTTCAATCGCACATCGCAGCATGTGCGATTGTGCGTTCTTACTTACCAAGCGGCGTTCCTACAGTATATTCTGTACACTGTTGTGTACAAATTATATAGCTTGACTATCAATATATTGCATATTTTTAATAGTATGTGATTTATGTGCTCTAACTTGATTTATTATTCGATTACATCGTTACTAAAAGGCAAATTTTTCATCTCACCTTGAAGTCACATATACTTGAGCTTGCCCTCAAATCATTTTTTACAGTTGATTCTACGGAATAAGTGGCATAACTATATCGTTTTTCAAAAAATTACTAGAGCGAAACAAATTGCTCTTATTAAAATAAATAAATACTTATTATTAATTTCCCATCATTTAATTATTCAATTTATTCGCATAATATGATACGGATATGACAGTGATCGAATTTAATTCTCTCGTAGTATATAATAAAGCGATAAAAGGCTAGAGTTGTTTGAATTTGCATCATGGCTTTTATTTCTTCTTACCTTCTAATTGAAGCATCTTTTTAAAATATTAACGTGCAGCCACAGAGTGATTAATAAATAAATATTTATCCCATTCAATCACTGTTTTTCGAAGGAAAATCTATTTGAGGGCAAGCATTATTAATTATATTATTGTTGGTGGCCCATCACCACTGGTGACTGGTTGGTGGCCCAGTGGTGATGGGTTGGTGGCCCAGTGGTTAAAGTTCAGAGTACCAGGATTGGCGCAGAGAGGCGCGGGTTGGATCCCAGCTCTGTGCGCCAGTTTCTGGTCGGAATCGGCAAGGAGGCCGGGCGGTTAAGCATAGCAGAATTGTAGCAGTAAGTTGCGAGTTCGAGACCGCAACAAGCTGTGGATGTTCTGCGATGTTAAGAATCGGCGACAGGCCTACGGCCTACTAAGCTGAAACCGCTATTATTATTATTATATTATATTATTATATTGGGGCTTCATCATCCTGAATGACTTGGAAGTTGTAACCCTTTACGTATGAATGGCAGTAGATAGTATATTGATATTCAAGCCATTTACTTGATTAAATTTCATGATTTTAATGTGAGTAAGGCTCTATCGGAAAACAAAAGAACGCACACACTCGACTTTTGTTCGGCTCGACACACTTGTATTTTGTTGGGCTCGGCTATGCGGCGCTGTTCCCTGTGGTGTTTTATATGAACTGAGGGACGGATCAATCAATGTCAAATCTTTCTACGAAATTACATTGATTAGTCTTTATCTTCGCTGTTATTTTTATACATCAAAGTAATGTTTCCCGAATTCAATTCTACATTATGCAATATAGAATTATGAAAACAACTGAGTAATTTCGCATCTAATGTAAACGTTCGTTTCAAAAATTTCTGGTCGAACACAAGGTGTCAGGCCGCAGGTTATGCGGCGCTGTTGCTGCGCTCCAACAGCCAAGTCAGTTCAGCTGCTGTGCTGGTGTCGTCGTCGTTAGCAACCAGCCTCCGTAGTCGTTCGTCATTCATGCACGCGCAATTTGTCAATTGATCTTCATGATAGGCGGGCTTTGGCAATTTTTTTTACAAATTGAACGCAATTAAGATATTCAGTGCACCTACTGCTCGTCGATTGATAGCTAGCGTTCCGTACGCACTTTCATTGGACTTAATTTAAAATTGAAGATATATATGCTGCATAACTACGTTTTCTTTTGTTTACTTTGTTTGTAAGTTGCGTCTTGTCATTTATGTTCCGAACTCTTATAGAGTGCCGTGAGCTAAAGGTTCATAGGCTAAATAAAGGTTTAAAATTTTCGCCTTATCCCACCGCGCAAATTTTGCTCGTAGTTTAGCTATTTAATTAAAAATTTCTTTAGCGGCCGATATCAATGTATGTAAACGGAAACGTCTTCTTAGTACGAATTAAACACAATTTGTACAGCAATTTCAAATTATTGAAGTAAACTCTACGCCAACGAGTTACCTGAAGATACATGTCATAAACACAGAATCGAATCAAGAAAATTAGTTTACCGTAAATGATCGTTGTATGACCTAACATAAAACACTACGGCGAGATGTTCGGTATCGATCCCGCCAGGCGCAGTTATGTAGCGCTGCTGCCGTTTGGGTTTGCTCTACAGCGGCGGAACGCGCATTCACCCTCATTTCACTATGCTGTTGCTTGTTGCTGTTGGAGAGTAAAAAAGGGGGGCCACCCCGGGTTTTACCCCGCGTCTTTCGCGTATTGATATTGGTATCAAGCCAACTAAGACTCATATATACCGATCGGCCGGAATCGATGGTACTTTTTTAC